CCCCCCCCCCCCCCCCCCCCCATATTCTAAATAAGTCTGTCCCCGTGGTTTTATGCACCCCGCATAATTTAGCAAAAGTTGATCATTTTTTGCATAATTTCTGATTATTTTCCTTTATCATTCTTTGTTAAAATTAACAGAATCGCATAATTTCACATTTGTGGGATCAGTTTGCATAATTTCAGATTTTTTTTCATAAAACGACGGGACAGATAAGTGGAAAAACATCATCTTTATAACGTATAGTCTGATCACGGCGACCCCACGGCGCCCTACCTGAAGTGGAGACCTTCGGATATTCGCAGTAGTAGGTTGTCATTCCAAAAAGAGGGCTCATATTTACCTTTGCATTTGTTTGTTTGTTTGGTTGGTTGGTTGGTTAGTTGGCTGCTTGTTTGTTTGTTTGTTTGTTTGTTTGGTTGGTTGGTTGGTTGGTTGGTTAGTTGGCTGCTTGTTTGTTTGTTCTTCCCCACCGTCACTACCGGGTCAGTAATACGCCTTCAGACTGACATTGTTATGGGACATTGAACTCGAATGAACTCACACCAAAGCCACTTGACGCAAAAGTCAAACATAAACAGAATCCGATTAATCGTATCATTTAAAAAATCGGATATACCGTCGAGCCTTCTCTACCGGCCACCTAACCAAGACAAGTACCAGTAAAAACAGTCACTCCCTACTCCCCCCCTTGTGTCTTTTAATTACAAATATCATTATAATGACACTGTCCAGGACGCCAGCCTGTTTAAGACAACCATTTTTTTCCTTGACAAGGAATGTCCGTATTGGACAATTTGGGCTGTATTGTACAGCTGCATAGTGAGTGAGTGTGGTGGGAGATTGAATGAGAATGGGTGTGTTGGGAGGGGGTGGGCGAGCAGGTTGAGGGAACGAAAAAGAGACCTTGGAGGTACTTAGCGAGCAAGAAAATAATACATTCAATTTAGATACAATACAATGGTATATCTCTTCCCTGAAAAAGTCAAACGGATGTTGGCCTGAAAAAAATCTGGACTTATGCACATTATGCGTTCCTAATACACGGACTGGTTTTGTGATTCACGCTTCTTAAACATTACAAGACACCAAGA